GGAAGTTTCATGAATTTTGTATTCCTGCTCTTTTCTATACGCAATGTTCTTCGTCGTAGACCGTCACGTACACGCACGAATAAGCATGAAAAGTCAATGCGAACCTTACGAAAAATAGTGGGTCAAGCGAACAAAATAACTGCAAGTTAATGAGTACAAAGAAGCGCCCGCACCATTTCGCCAATGTTTGACTGTTGTCTCCCCCCCCCCCCCAACCTATACCATTTCACTTCACGCCCTCTCACACGCTCTGTTCCTCTTTGTCACTTGCGGTATGGAAGTTTCCATAGGCTCCGAAATAGCCTGACGTAACAGAATTCGGCATCGCCTTCGGCTTCCTTTGGGAACTTGTGGCGACATCGAAAATCCCCCCCCCCCCCATTACCAACTGGTGACGACTTTCATCATTCTTTTACGCTGTGAGCTTGGACAGTTTGCAATCTAATGATACTACTTCCTCTACCTTCTACATTGGATAATTGTCACATGCACTGTAATTGTTGTTTTGTAGTATTTTCTAATTTTTATTATCATACAATCGGGAATTGTATATTTGATTTTAGCTACACGATACATTTCAAATTTGCTTCGTTGCTTCATTACAACCTAATTGGTAAATCCATAAGTCATTAAAATTCACATTGTCAATTTCTTTTCCATTATAAGCATATTTAATAAAGAATATTCTTGGAGAAATATTATTGTTATAGGCACATTAACGATGAGGTTGGCAATTTTTATATAACCTCGCGTTAGACACGTGAGTAATAATTCTAATTTAAAAGTAATTTTAAGGCTCTTGGATAATATCACTTTAAATACCTAGGAAATATGTCAGAAATGACTTACAGAAAGAAACTTTTTTTTTCTTATACAAATCTACATTTGCCTTTGTTATTATACGGAATTATCTTGATAAATATGTATACAAAGCACTTCAATATTCCTATAAATATCGAGATTTTCCAAGCAAAATTAACTATAACCATATTATATTAGCAGTCATTTGTTTGAATTCGCTATTTCACTCAATTTTAAAAGCATGGCTCGATTTTTTATAATAAATCAATTTAATAATAATAACAACAACAATAATAGATATTAGACATGATAAGTAATGTTTAGCTATTCATTTAAATTTAACACAACGGATTGCTTCACAAATTACTCAATAAATATAATGCGACCAGATAAATATACCATTTTTTAGATATTAAAATAATTACATTAATAATTTAATGTGTAAATTAAAAAATACCATTGACATATATATTATGTTTTTAATGATGAAACTTTTAATGTTTAATACAATTTATACTGCATAATTGATTATAAACTGTTTATTTTATATAATTAGAGTGAAAATTAAGCTCGTGCCATTTTGTGGTTTTTTTCTATTTATAATTTTAAAAAATTTAATGAGATTATAATTATTTCCATTCCTTTGGGTGAAATTATTTAGATGAAAAACTAAAAATGATAGTTATATAAACAATATTTAAAATTAATGATTGAAAATTTTACTTTAAGCCGTTAATATTTGTTTGACTTTGTCGAAAAGGAAGCTACGACGCTGTTCCCTATTTGCAAGAATCATTTGTTATTTGGCAGAGAAAAATCGTATTATTTATGTGTTAGCAGTTAGAGTAATTTTCTCGCATATGCGTACAAAATACTATAATTACTCTCTCTCTCTCTCTCTCTCTCTCTCTCTCTCTCTCTCTCTCTCTCTGGCTCGTGCGCTTACTCACTCACTCACGCACGCACCCAAGACACTCTCCCTTTCTTTCACTAGCTAAATCTAAATATCGGCGCAACGCACTTTAGATGGGAATCTTTCGTAGCATCGTTGTAAATTGTTCAACATCATTCGTTAGGTGGCAAAGAAAATGCTCTGCCTCCTAGTGCACCTTGCACTCGCACGAGCAGCGTCCAAGTGCAGAGACGAGCGTATCAACTTGACATTGCGACGAGAAATTCGGCCTTAGCCACAAATAGAATGGCGAGCGCCGAGGATGGTGCATTAGCATCGTTAGTTGGGTAGTAGTAGGAGCATCAACAGCAATGGCAGTAGTATTAGTAATAGTTAGCGCCGAGGATGGTGCATTAGCATCGTTAGTTGGGTAGTAGTAGGAGCATCAACAGCAATGGCAGTAGTATTAGTAGTAGTAGTAGTAGTAGTCGTAGTAGTAGTAGTAGTAGTAGTAGAAGCGAATATTAAGCGAGGGAAGACGTCGAAGCTTCAGGGTGGGGCAGAAAGTTAACTTCGACAGGGGATCGATCGACGTCCCCGGGGCTTTGTTTTTGGCACTCTCACCTTGTTAAGCTGGGGGTTGCGGAGATAATCGATGCCCCGCACGAGTCCGGGCGAGGACTCGTCTTTGGTGGGTCTCTGTCCCAGACGATCCATCATCATCGTGAACTAGTGGTTATGAAAAATAAATCAAACGGAACGAACGCCCTCGCGACGCGGCTCTCTCTCTCTCTCTCTCTCTGAACACACGATGCAGAACAGCTGCTCGCGGGTGCGCGCACTTAGGAGCCGTCGGGCACAATGACAGGAGGCCGAGATGAGCGTCGAGATTTAAAAGCTGCCGCGAGGCGTTTAGTGCGCATGCGCGGAAAGTGAGGCCACTTCGTGAAACACGCGCGATCAAAGTGTCGCGGAGCGCAGAAACGAAACACGGGGATTTTCGATTAAATGCCGACAATTTGTGACTGACTAGCGATAAAGAACAAACATCCTTATTTACATTCAATCGAGCACTCTGCCTGATAATAACCTCGTCGTCGTTTTTATTTAATTTTAGTTTGGCCGATTAAGAAATGTCGGACAACCAGGTTGGTAAGAATTTTGTTATGATCGGTCGCTTCGGGCGCCTGAATTGAATGGAAGAAAAAATCGATTATCATGTCAAATGGTCCTGCAAACATCTGTAGATTTCTCGTTAAAGCCCCAAAGGGCAATAATAATAATGATAAAACGTGTCTCGATTCGGTTCAATCAGCTCGTATTGTCGTATTGAGCACGTTTTGTCTCGTATTCGATTGTATAATTAATACAAACTGCATCGAAAAAAAAGAAGTTTTGCAGTTTTGGCGATGTCATGTTGTGGCACAATTTTCAAGACCTTTTTATTTAAATAATACTTTGATGCGCACTAACAACTTGGCAAATACAATATTAGATAATGGCAAAATTTACTCGTTAGCACAAAATATCATTATTTATTTTTATGTTTATTTTTTTTTTCATTTTTTTTTGTTTTTGTTTTTTTTTTTGTTTTTTTTTTGTTTTTTTTTTGTTTCTTTTTTTTTGTTTTTTGTTTTTGTTTTTGCAAAAGATCGTTTAATTTTAATTCCGTGACTTAGACTATTTTATAGTGAATTCATGGAAAAATAAATATGTTAACAAAAATATTAGTAAAAAAATTTCAGATATCGAAAATTGATAAAAATAATAAATAGATATGGAGGCAACGTACCGGTAAAAATGATCTAAATGATCACTTAAAACATTATTGCAATTTCATTTTAGAATCGATCAGAAACATAAAATTTTGAGAATAGTTTCAAATAAAACAACTTATTGGATTATAAAATGATCTGTTAATTAAAAAATTGAAATTAATTAGAATTAATAGCTTATGTAGATAATATGTCGCTATTTATTGAAAAGAATAAAAAAAAATATTAATATTTATTAATTATAATGAAGCGTGTTAAAGGAAATCGTCCTTTATTGTCTGTGCATTATTGTTTTGAGAGTTATGAATTATTCGGCACTCACAAATAAATTTATTACTCAATTGCAAAAAATAATTGTAACTATAATTATTTGATATACTGCGGGTAGTTGCCAATGCACGATTAATCCTTAATTACTTACAATTAATGTATTAAACTAGATCCTAGGATTTTAACAATATTCTATTAATTATTTTACATACGTACCAAAAATTTATTTACAATCACTTCCAATAATACTAATTATTCATATAAGTCGACATTAATGGGCTATTATTATAAATCTAAAAATAAAAGAAAATATGTAATGTCTAAATAGTCAAAAAATGATTTTTAAAACGCGCGTAAGAAAAATTATAAAATTTTAATGGACACAAAGCGCATTTAAATGCATGAAATTCTATTTTCGTAAAAAAATTGTAAACAAAGACAATTAGTCCTTATCGCAGTAATAACTAACTATAAACAGGATACCCTAAAAATTCACAATAAATTAAAATAATGAATATAAATAAATGCATATGCAGGCAAGAGATCGTCCCTTTTGATTGTCCTTTGAAATAAAAGTTTTAATGCAAAATTAATATTAAAATCTAAATAAAAAAAAAATCTATATGTATAATATAAATATCTATAAGTAGATTAAATATTAGCATATATAGTATAGTATAATATTATTTTAGTAATAACTAAAATATCTATATGTATCTATATAAATTTATTAACCAAAAAAAAAAAAAAAAACTTTTTGACAATCATTATATTAATGGAGTATTAATCGTCGAGTATCTTATAAAAACTTTTGAACGGATGAATTATAAATATCGAAAGCATTTAAATTACAATTACGAATAAACGGAAAGTAAATAAAAAATAATTAGCATTACTTTAGATTATGAAAATATTCGTTGTTAATGCATTAAAGAACGATTTAAGCAATACGATATAAAAATAATTAATGTTAACATAAAATAATTATGACTGAAGAGAACGAAGGACCCACTAAATAAGTATAAACAATTTGAAAATTATAAAATTGAACGAATGCTATTAAAATTAATACAATTGAATACAATATTATAATGATATTCTAATATTAATTTAAAGGTCATAATTATAATATATTAATCACTTAACGTATAAACGCGCGGTTTTTGTTTACAATAACGCTAATTCTATAAAGTCTATCATATAAATAACATATTAATAGTTATGATTTTAAATAAACTCATACAATAATAATCTCGATTGTTATGACATTTTTCATTTGCTAATCAATATTATTATCATTCATATACAAATGTTTTTTTTTTTTGTTTTTTTTTTTTTTTTTGACTCACGTTTAAAATGTAAATATTTCACACTCTTTTCCTCTACATTACAAATCCATAAATTTATCACAACAATACGCATCTTAATTAAATATATACATTTTAAGTAAAAGCGTATATTGTATTAACCATTTTGCCATTACCTAAATTCATTGTCGGGCAATTTTGAGACAAAAAACTGATCGCAATATGCCCTATAAAAATAATCAAGTGAAACACAATTGCGATAAAATATATTACTGAATGATTAGTTATTTAATGTGAAGCGTATCGCAACAATTGCATAATAGCCATTGATTTGAATTTAACGAGAATTCGTCAAAATATATAATCGCATGTCAAAATTATTTCGCCTCCTGCTACTCATACTATTATGACTAAACCATATCATCGTATCGCACATGAAGCGTAATATCAAATTAATGCGGATACGCTCGATTCGAAGCGCGATGAATAGCTAAAAACATTCGATTGCAATGTTGCCCAAATTCACGCGTCTAGAGCACGACAATAGCGTGCGAAAATTAATCAGCGCATCCGCACTGCCATCCTCCCTTATGACAAATAACTACAAAAGTATAACGATCACGAGGACCAAATCGTTCCCTCCTTCGCTAAGACACGGACTTGTCCCCCGAATCTCTAATTGCGCGCGTTCGGCTTATCGATAACCCGAACCTTATCCGGATCTTCCTGCTCCCTCGCGCTCTCACCACAGTGGAATTCATCGAATAATTTAATCGACGAGATGGGCTGCGATGATAGTAGACCCTCTTCCCAGACCCTATCCTGGCATTAATTGGGTCGTTGTTAACGAGGAAAGTAGACTGCGAGTACCGCGACCAAAGGATTTCACGGCTTGCGGTTGCACGAACTGTCGCACGTTCACACGATCGTCGGTAACAGCAATCGATGACGTGTACTCTAAGTTTTAGCGCCTTCGCTATTTTTCGCACAAACTATCATCTAATGCCGGACATTATAATATCCGCCCTTGTGGGTTAGAATGTCTTAGGTAGGGTAAGGGAGGAGATAAGCTTGCACATCGGCACAGGCGTTATCTCCTCGCTCTCACATTCTTGGGCAATTTATATTTAGTGTACGCTCATTCTAAGGTCATTAATAGTTGAATAATCACGCGATTACAAGTAAGCTCGTCAGTCTTTGGTGAATCGAACTTTAAATACCATTTTAATATATATTAGCCATAGACACATAGAGAGGTTTAAGGCTAAGTCAAGGACGCGAGAGCAAAGGAAATGTATGTTTGTTATAAAATTTATACAATCGCAACTACGAAGTGTATCTACGATTTTGGATTCTTCAAATAATTTTTATTTGCCAGCCCAATGCATTATCCGAACTATTAGACATTATAATGTACGATTTAATTATTTTTTTTTTATTATACTGATACGAAATTGCGACGCAATTAAAGAAAAACGAATACGATTCTCTTCGTTAAAATGCATACCCTCCCCCCACCCCGCCCCACCCCACCCCACCCCACCCCGCCCCATCACTCTATTCGATTTCATATAATGTTGAGTTCGTTACTGATACGATATCAAAAATGTCGAAAGTAGAGTGAGTTATATGAAACAAAAATGAGAACAGATTTAAATAATTTTAAACAAACTGTTTAGAAATTAGGAAATCTAGCGGCTCTATTCGTTAAAATGTTCAGCTAATAATTACATTCGCAATGCATTTGCTGTTCACTTATTATTTCATCACTTTTTTCATTACCTTTGTCAGTATTTAAAAGAGCTGTTAGAAAACAATGTAGAATAAAAAATACGTAAGAAATAATTTAAGTTAAATTATTGATCTGTAGTTATATGAAAGCTAAAAAAACATTTAAAATACTGTAACTAACGAAGACTTTTACTTTAAAAATATGCATCTAAAGTTAAGATAATGAGAATGAATTAGAAGATGTATAAATTAACTGGTAAATGAAAGTTATGCTTGAGCTATCACATCGCATTATCAGTATAAAAAAGATTATTTGGCCTTAATTGTATATATTGAACCGTTCGATAATGGTTTAAGGTACTAAAGTAACTTACCTTAATATTTCATTTTTAACATTGTTTATTATTATGCCTTTGTTAGCTACCAACAACTTGTATTTCAGTTTTTTCATTTTATTTCAATTTCATTTCGTTTCTTATTGCCATGTCTAATTTACGTATTAGCTGAATTAATCAATTATCCTAACTTACACGATCCTGTAATTAATATTAATGCGAAAAGAATAATACTATTTATTTATCAGTTTTGTAATTTAAACTATTGAAAATAGTTTTCTTAACCGTATTAAGAAAATAACAAAATTAAATTACCAGCTATATAATTTTTAATTATAATAAAATGTTACGAATGAGATCGTTTCACTAAACGATAAAAATAAAATTTCTTAGTATTTCGTAT